CACCCAAGGCTCCAGATTTCTTTTCAAGTACATTATTGCCTGTTGCAGTAAGGTGGCAGCAATGCTGTGAGGACACCTCCAGTTACTACTGCACATCCCAAAAAAGGAAGAGATCCCATAAATCAGCACGGACCCTTGGAAACAGCTGCATGTTATACCATGTAGGAAAAGGACAAAAGGGATGCAGGAGTACATACATTTACGAAGTCACCTCCTTGGATCATGAAGTCCTTTATTACCCTAAAGAAGTAAAACAGCACTTAGTTCTCAGCAGACAAAGGCCTCAGAAAGCTCAGTGTAAGGTAAAAAGGAGCTCTGCCTTGCTGTGCAACAGAAGTTAACAGTCTGTGAGTGCTGCAGCCCAAAATCTGCAACAAATCAGTGGCTGATATCAGGTCATTTGGGACCCATTGCTGTTTGACCAGGGACAGTGATTAGGTGACAGATGCCAGGCAATGATCTCTGATGCAGCACACCAGGAACAGGGGACTCCTCCCAGTGACCCCAGCACACACACCTGGCAGCACCCCCAGATCCCCCAAAGCCACAGGAGGATGACACTAGCCATGACCCACTAATGCCTTGAGGCAGGTCCCAAAACCCCATCTGGCTCAGGATGCTATTTAGTGCCTAAAAAGTAGGTGAATTACCTGTGGAAAGTGCTTCCTTTATAACCTATAGGGACACCATCTTTCCTGTAAGGAAGTAAAAAGGAAAATCCTTTCAACTTACTGGATATCCCAACACAAAACCCCCACAAGAATTCAGAGTCCCAAAGGTTGCCCCATACATTAGCAGCTGCCTTGAAATACAATCAAGAGCTGCAGCCTCTCAGCTGCTGCTGTTGGAGGCAAAAAGGAAGCCTCAAATGGGCTCTGCACAAGAAATTACTTGGTACCCTGCAACACCCACACCATCATCTTCACAGGATCCCACTGCAGTGTGCAGCACGAGCAGGGGGGGTTTGCAGATAGGGCTTTTTAGAGCCACCTGGGCACGAAAAGTCACATCCAAAAGGGAAAACCTGCCACCTCCGTGACTCACAGAGCCCCTCACAATTTCCTCAAGAGCAGATTTCTGTAACTCTTTCGTTTTGTACTGGTACAACAGGCAAAACTTCCAGGTGAGCCCCTCTTCCACCTCACCCAGCCCTGTTTCTCCAGTGGGCCACTTAAAAGGACACCAGAACCCACTTACCTGAATTCACCTGTACAAAACTGCCTGGAAAACAAAAGAAGAGAGCAGAGTGTGAGGCACATGTGAACTCTGAGGGCGCTGAGGGCTGCACCGACTGGCACACAGGACCTTCCTTACTGCATCAGGCATCCCTGATTAGGAAAATTTCCCAGTAAATTAGGAACTGACTGCTCCTCTCCACTGCCTTTTCAAAACATATTCTGTGCCCTCTCTGGTGAGGAGGTCAGAGATTTAACACCGAGGTTGTAAGAGATGGTGAATGTGGGGCAGGCACCGTGCTTGACAGAGAACAGGGTACGTCCATCTCTCTGATGGAAATGGGATTCCAAACGGTGCATCCCTTAGTTGACTGCAGGAGAACTGGGTGGCCGGGAGAGCTCCACCATGGCACAAGGCACTGCCTGTTCTACGTGCACCGGGCACATCAGAGGCTCCACAGAGGAAGGGGGGACTGGAGTCCTTCCCCTTGCGGTCAGATGGGCTCCCCTGGGGGACCAGGACACCGCACAGCATCTCAGGTGTATCGGGTTGGGAAGGGAGGGCAGGTAATCACTCCGCCACCAAAAAAAAACATTCCTGCACCCAAAAGCCTTCGCAGCCCCGGCCCGGGGGGGCTTACCTGAAGTTCTCCGCCGTTTTGGGTACAACGTCGGCAAACAGCTCGATCTTCATGCGGCCGACCTCCTGGGGGAACACAGGGGCCAGGTGAGCCTCCGGGGCCCCCCGGCACCCACCCGCCTCCCGACACCCCCGCCCGCCCCCGCAGTCCCCCCACCTGCCCGCCGATGGTGACATCGAAGAAAACCACCGGGTTGTTGGGGTTCGCCGCCAGCGCCGACATCGCGGCCGCCTCCGCAGGAAGGGGAACAGGCGGTGGAAGCGGAATCGACGGACACGGGGGCGGGACGGGGTGGGCGGGGAGCGGGAGGGGCCGGGGCCGTATCCGGGATGTCCGGGATGCCTGGGATGCTTAGGGTGTCCGGGATGCCCGGGCAGTGTCCGGGGTGTCCAGGGCTGTCCGAGATGTCTGGACGGTGTCCGGGTGGTGTCCAGCGTGTCCGGGATGTCTGGGATGTCCGGGATGCCCGAGCAGTGTCCAGGGTGTCCATGGCTGTCCAAGGTGTCTGGACGGTGTCCAGGCCGCGTCCAGGGTGTCCAGGATGCCCGGGATGTCCGAGCAGTGTCCGGGGTGTCCATGGCTGTCCAAGGTGTCTGGACGGTGTCCGGGCCGTGTCCAGGGTGTCCCGGGATGTCCAGGCTGTCCAGGATGTCCAGGATGCTCGGAATGTCCAGGGTGTCCGGGATGTCCAGGGTGTCTGGAGTGTCCGGGGGTGTCCAGTCCCCATCCCATAGGGGCGGCTTGGGGTCTTCAGAGCAGAGCACTGACCCCCAGGACCGTGCTCTGTCTGCAGCCCGTGGTGCTGGTCCAGCCGGGGAGCCCTGCCCACTCCTCTCCCTGCCCACTTGGGCACATGCCAGCTGAACATGAGCTCAGGTGTGCCCAGATGGGTAAGGAGGCCAATGGCATCTGGCTTGTACCAGCCACAGAGTGGCCAGTGGGACCAGGACACTGACCATCCCCCCTGTGCTGAGGTGCCTGGAATCCTGGGGTCACTTCTGGGCCCTGCCAAAACCTCCCCTGCAAATAATCAGCTGAAATGCTCGGGTTTTGCCAAAACCATTTATTAGGGGATCAGTGGGAGAAACAGAGCCGGGAGCATCCGGCACAGTGTGTCCTGGTGCAGCCCTGGCCGGGATCTCCACCAGCAAGATGCTGGGTTTTGGTGGCCGGGTTGCCTGGGGATGAGAAGGAGGAAGATCTCCTGCAAGCTCTGGGCTGCCGGGGTGTGTGCCAGGGTGGCCTTGGGGGCTCAGTGGTGCCGAGGATGCCACCAGCTCTGTGGCAGGAGAAGCGTGCCGGACACTGTGTTGTCATCCCGGAGCCTGTTCTCCACATCCCTGAAGGCTTCCAGGGGTCACGCCGCATCACCAGAGCTCTCTGCAGGGGGGGCAAAGCATGGGAAGGGGGTGAGTGTTACCTCCTCCTCTGTGGGGACCTTGGGCACTAGGGACCCTGAACACCCGTGACGTGCAGCACCAGGGGACGTGGGGCACCAGGCACCTCAAGCACCCAAGGGATCCCAAGCACCCATTGTCCCAGAGTGCCTGTGCCCAGGAGCCCCCTCCCTGTGCCTGTACCTTGGCACGGGATGAGCTGTACCGTCTTTCACGCAGGTTCTGCTCCGCGATGCCACCGACGACTGGGCCGTTGCAGTGGCCGTGCCACCCCATGCTGGGACACCCCAGCACAGTCAAGTGACCGCTGGTGGGCTCCGTCTTGGGACACCAGTGATGCTGGTGGCACTGGCTGCTGTAGTGCGTGGGGATGGGGGCTTGGCAGATGTCGTGCTGGTTCTTGCTGCTGGTTCTTGCCAGGCTGAGCCCACCCGTCTGGGCAATGGCCTTCTGGAAGCCACCCTGGCCAGTGGGGATGAAGGCACCTTTCTCCATGCTGGGGAAGATCTGGACTCTGCTACAATCCTTGCGGGATGCCCTCAGGTCCTCCTGGATGAGCTGGTAGTAGTGGGTGGCCTCAAAGCGGGACTTCACCTCCTGCATGGAGATAAAGGGATGGTGGAGGGCAGCGCTGGGTGAGATCCGCTCGCGCGAGTCCCAGGTGAGCATCCTCTTGACCAGCTCCACCATCGCATACAGGTCACAGCGCTTGGCCAGCTCCTCCTGGTCAGGATCAGACACCAGGCAGAGGTTCACTGCCGCTAACTGATCCAGCGAGGAAAAGACATGCACCCTCCTCTCCATTGGCTTTGCCATCATCTTCCCCGGTGGTTTGAGCTGCCAGGTACCGACAGAACATGGGACCTGTCGGAAGAAGGACTGTGTCTTCTGGGCAGCGCAGAGCAGCTCGGCCCGGGGCAGTCCCAAGGTGGAGCAGATGTAGCGCACCTGGTCGTACTCGTTGTTGCCGGGGTAGAGCGGCCAACCCAAGTGAAGCTCGGCCATCACGCAGCCCAAAGACCAGACATCCACCTTCTCACAGAAGGGCAAGCCCAGCAAGATCTCCGGTGCCCGGTAGAAGCGGGTTTGGATGTAGGGCTTCTGGACACGGTAGGCCTCGGGGAGGAGGATAGCCGAGCCGAAGTCAATGAGCTTGACGCGGAACGGGTAGCGGGAGTGGTCCACCAGCATGATGTTCTCTGGCTTGAGGTCAGCGTGGATGATGGAGAGCTCCTTCAGCTTGACCAGCGCCGCCAGCACCTGGGCCGTGATGGTGCGGATGTGCCGGACGGGCAGCGGTGAGAAGTTGTTCTGCTTTTGGAAGTCAAAGAGGTTTTGCTGCAGCAGCTCGAAGACCAGGTAGGTCCAGACCGTGTCGCTGAAGGACTCGAGGAAACGGACGACGTGCGACTCTTCCGCGTCCCCCTCCCGCAAGGCCTGCAGCAGCCTCAGCTCGTTCCTCATCGTTTGGCCATTGTAATCATGGTTCCTCAGGATCTTGATGGCCACCATCTCCCCAGTGCTCCTGCGCTGGCCCTGGGTCACCTGCCCAAAGGTCCCCTTCCCGACCGTGGCCACCAGGTCGTAGCACTCAGCACCTACCACCAGTGTCACCATGGTGGGTCAGCTCCTCGCCAGGGGCTCAGGATCCTACCGTTCAGTGCCCAGCGGGGACTGGGGACACTCAACTGTCCCAACCTGGTCTCACAACACCGTTGGGTTCCAGCACCACCATGGCAGCACCTTCTGTTGATGATGTCACAGCAGAAGCAGCCTGGGTGGAGGAGCCCCCTGAAACCCAGCACTGGACACCCCGAATCCAGCCCTGCTTTCTCAAAATCCATCCACAAACCCAAAACCACATCCCTGGTCCCCCCAAAATGGATCCAAGCCCCCCCCCCAACCCATCCCAGCCCCCTGAAAACCCACTTCCAGCCTCCTAAACCCTTTCCCTGGTCCTCTGAAACCCATCCAAGTCCCCCATGACCCATATGCAGCCCCCAAAACCATTTTCCAGTCCTCCAAAGCCAATCCCTTGTCCCTCAAACCCATCCAAGCCCCCCAAAATCTCTCCCTAGTCTCCCAAAACCCCTCCGAACCCCACAATATCCATCCCCACCTCCCAAGTTCCAGCCCAACATAAACCATCCCCAGTCCTGCTGAAATCCACCTCTGTTCCCTTAAAACACAGCCTACCCCCCCACACACACCTACTTCCAGCCCCAGAAAACCCCTCCCTGTTCCCCTAAACCCTATGTCCAAGCCCCATAGACATTCTCATGACTTTTTTGGACATTAATATTTATTCTGACCAAGCCAAGAGCACTACCCCCCACACTTTCCCTGCTTAACAGTAACACCTGGAAAATAGGCCAGGCAAGAACAGGGAGGGGTAGGCAAGTCAAGGCAGAGGATGGGTATGGAAGGCAATGCAAGGAAGGGAGAGATGGGCAGAGAGAGGCAAGGCAAGCCAGAGGATGGCCAGGAAGAGTTAGGCAAGGCAGGGGAGGGGTAGGCAAGGCAATGGAAGTCAAACAAGGGCAGGTAAAGCAAATAAAGGCCAGGCAAGAAAGGGGCAGTTAAGTAGAGGTGGTATGTAAGGTAATGCAAGGGAGGTGTAGAAAGGAAAACAGCTAGGCCCAGTGTTTCAGGTGCAGAGGACAGGGTACCCAGGGGACATAAAGACCAGCCCCAGCTTTCTGTTCTGGTACCTCTGGTGTAGAAAATCCAAGGTGTATACAGTTTTTGAGGATTGGCTCCAAATTTCTAGGGTGGGGTTCAGGAAGTGAATCACTAGAGTGTCTTTCCTTGGGAAGCAAAGGATGTAGTCCCACTGTTTGTGGTACTGTGGGGAGCTAAACAGCAGCAAGACAGTTCTCTCCTGGCCCCCTTTGTGTAGGAGCAATTCTTGGATGTTGGCAATATTGGAGATGGTATCCGACTTTTGGGTCTGGACTCCTGAAAGTGTGTCCCAGTGCTTTTACTTGGGGAGGAAGGCAGGTAATCCCAGTGCTTCAGGTGCAGGTCAGAGGCTGCAGCAGCCAGGAGCAGCTTTCTGTCCTGGGATATTTTGTGTGGGATCAATCCCCCGACGATTGCAACGATCGAGTGGGGATCCAAATTCTGGAGTTAACCTTCTGCAAAGGGATCACAGTGCTCTTCATAAAAACACATAGTCCTGGGGCTTGTGCTGCAAAGAATTGGGTGCCCAGGGAATGAAAGGGACAGCAACAGTTTTTCTATCTGGCACCTTTGGTGTGGGAGCAACCTCCCAACATCTTCAGTTTGTCAGGTGGTCTTCTGCAATGTTTGGCAGTCTGCTTACCATGGGCAAGGTAAGCAGCTCTCCCCAGTGTGGGTGGGCAGATGCCTTGGGGAGTTAATGCCCAGGGTTCTGGCATTTCTGTATAGGAACAATCCTTGGATATTTTCTGTTTTGGAGGTTGGGGATCACATTTCTGCTGAGATAGGGCCTTCATTCCTCTCTTTGGCAGGGAAATCACTTTTGGATTCTCACACTGGGCAGTTTAGAGAGTGTCCTAGTGAGTTGAAGTGCTTTTCCTAATATACAGTGCTATCACTTACAGCTGCTGAACCTCTAGAGTGGGAATGTAAAAGCCAAGCTGTTGAGCTTTTTGTCCTAGTCCATTTAGTGTCTGAGCAGCTAGTGGTGCGGTTCAGTTTTAGATCCCGACTCTGTGAGACTGAAGGATTACGATGGTACAGAGAGCCGAAGGAGCAGATCCCGGGGTGTGCGCTGCAGTTCAGCGGGTGCGGCTGAAGATGGAGCCAGCAACAGCTTTCTCGCCTGGCACTTTTGTGAGCTCTGTTTCTGCCGGATGTTCTCAATTCAGTAGCTGGATTCTGAGAGAGGGGGAAAAAATTTACTAGTGCCTACTTGGGAAGGAGCTCGTGTTGCCCCTCGAGCGCTGCACAAATAAGAGTTTGCACGTGGAAGGTCAGCCAAACCTTTCAGTCCCGACACGGTTTATTTGAGGGCAGCGAGGTTTTGAACTTGGTTAGTTTAGCTGGTTTAGCCCTGGGACACTGACTTTTTACAAGTCCACACCGCCATCGCGTGGTGGTTTGATGAGCGGTGAAAGCCAAGCGCTTTTTGTGCTGAGACCATTAGTTAGCGTAGGGGCTGAATTTTGGATACCGGCTCCTCGAGACTGAAAGAACGTGATCCTGCATTACACGTGGGGAGGAAGGCGAATCGTCTCCTTGCTGCCCCTGCAGTTTCTAGGCTTCAAAAGAGGAGTGAATCCCAGCACTGGCTTTTTCTTCTAGGACCTTTTCTTGGGGACCAGCTGCTGAACGGTTTTAGTTTTGTAACTGTGAGGCAGAAGGTGTGTGAGGGGACACAGAGCTGGGCACACAGACCCGTGCCTGTCGTGCAGTTTATAAGCTGCAAAAGCAAAGGCCAGAGCTGACTTTCTGTTCCTTTTTGTCAAAGGAGGCAAGTTAAATGTGGAGACAGTAACAGCTTGCTGAGCAGGCACCTTTTGTGACTAATATCTACACTTGACACAGTTTAGGTACAGGATCCCTGCAAGAGTGAAAGAACGTGAGGGTACCTACAGTTTGAAAGGAAAGCTTGTAGCCCCAGGGCACATGGTATTGATATCCTTCGAGGTGACTGTGAAGCCAATTAACTGTTTTCTCCCGGTTTGTTTTCAGATTGAGGTTATGGAGCTGGGCTCAGCAAGAGGAAAAATGCAAAGGGTGCATGCAGCTGGAAAAACAAAGCATAATATCAATGAGTGTTGTGCAGTTTAAGGCTGTATGGGAGATGTGATGCCCAGAACTGTCATTTTTTTTATAGGACTGTTTTCTAGAGGCAGCAGATTCTGAAAGGCTGCCTGTGAAAGTAGGGGGCACAACATCCCCCTGAGAAGAAACTTCCATAGGCCATTTCCATTTGAAACCCTCAACTGGCACCAGAATCAAGGGGCAATCCTCATCCTCACTGGCCACACCTGGGGCTGCCCCACCCCCTTATCACCCTCATTGTTCACACCTGGGGCTGCCCCAGGTGAGAGGTGACTCTGCCCAGTGCTCCCACTTCCCTCCCAGTATCACTCCTTGACTCCCCCCACGGCTCACAGTTCCCTCCCACTGCTCCCAGTATCATTCCTTGTCTCCTCTCAGTACTCCCAGTTCCCTCCCACTGCTTCCAGTATCACTCCTTGGCTCTCCCCTGTATTCCCAGTTCTCTCTTAGATCTCACAGTTCCCTCTCTCTGCTCCCAGTATCACTCTTTGACTCCCCCCAGTGCTCCCAGTTCCCTCCCGCTGCTCCCAGCATCATTCCTTGACTCCAAAATTGAATATGGATGAAGATTCCTCCCAGACAAAAGGGGCCACGACAGAAAGGGTCTGGGGGAAAGGGGGAAGCCACAAGCTTTTAGATGGCACTTCTGGTCAGCTCAAAGTCTGTTTTTAGCTTGCCTCCTCCCCAGTTTTGTCTCAGTTGTGCCCACCTAATTCTTCAGCTGCTGCTCCCTGGGAGGAGGTGGCCCTCATCCATGGTGGCACAGCCGACCTGGAGAAGATGAGGAGGAATAAACACCAGCTGAAGGCCTCTGTGAACTGTTTTGGGATGTGGCAGCACTTCTGAACATCACATTGATGCCTTTGGTGATGGCAGCACTAAATATTAATTACCCCTAAACTGACTCTCTGTCTGTTCTCCCAAGGTCTCACACCTGCCTCATCCTTCATGTCAGATCCTACTTTATTTTCTAAATAAATACCCTGCAGCCACCAGATTTCTTGGTTTGAATCCCAGGCTTTCTCCTGGCATATGTTATTTTCTTCCTGGAAGCCACAAGCCATGGTAAATAAACATTTACAGGTGCTGGGAACAGAGGACACAGGCTTCTCCTTGGCTGATTTATCTGTCTGGGAAGAGCCATAAATTCTGGAGCTTCAGGGCTGAAGTCAGATAGGGAAAAAGCTCTTGGGTAGGCATTTGCTTGTAGAGTTCCTTCTGTTTCCCCTAAAGCACATCCTTCTTGGGATTCATTATGGATGCCTGGTGATCCTGGTCCTATGACATGGATGTGTCCTTGGAGACCAGATGGAGAAGGAGGAGCTTTACCCCTCTGTGTGCTTGGTGTCCAGCTCTGCTTTGGGACAGTGCCCAAATCTTGCCCCTCCTGCTGCCTCAGTTTCCCCCATTCACCTACGAGTTGTTTTTCCTGCATTTAAGTGTAAGTTGCTCAGGACAGGGACTGTACCCCACCAAGGACATCCCTCTGTTACAGCATCACTCCCCTCTGCCTTTAGGGAGGGTCCCCTTTAGACCCCCGGGGCTGGGGGGCTGCAGTGAGGGGCTTTGGGGTGTTCCCAGGGATGACAGTGTGGATGAGCTGAGAGGGGAATGGGGACAACAGCAAGGGGGGCAGAGACATCTGGCCTAGGGCTGCAGACATGGCTGGTCAGGGATGATGCACCCTGATTTTGGGGGACTTTAGGGTGCTTTCTTTCCCGTAAAAGAGGAAAGGGAGGACAGAAATGAATGCAAAGGATTCTCCCCCTTCGAGCAGCAGCTGTGCAAAATCTCACCCTGGGGAGGCAAATCATGGGGGTGGGCAAAAGGCTTTCCCAGCTCCCTTTCTCCACCAGCCTGCCCAGCTCGGGGGCATCTCTTCCACCCAGGTGGGCTTCGTTCCTGACCTCTTCCCTCCCCGGGCACAGGAGGGGAGCGAGGGGAGGGGAAACCGGGGGGGGGGGGGGGTGTTTAGGGGGATTGTCATGGTTACCTCCCTGGCAAAACAAATGGCTCCACTGGATGATGATGATGATGGTGATAGCGGTCACTCAGACAGCTCCGGACAGTGTGGGGCGGCGGTGGGGGGGCGAGAAAGCCACCCTGGGGAACCAGAACCGCCCCCCTTGGGGAGCCAGACACCTTCTCGGCTCCTCGCCGCCGGGGCACATGTTGCTGCAGCCCGTTCGGTAAGACCCTTCCTCCCCCACTCCAGACCCGCCCTGGACCCCCCTGGGTCCCCCAGCCCCCCTACCCGGTGGGGAGGGTCCGGGGGGGTGATGCCACCGGTTGCCGAGGTGGCTGGTGGTGCAGCGCTCCCCCACCCCAAGCCCCGGCGCTCCCTCCTCTCCCTCCCTTTTCCTCTCTCCTCATCTCCCTCACTCCCTGTCTTCCAGAGACAAAAGCGCTCCGCAGCCGTGCCTGTCGCCTTCAGGATTCCTCCTGTCCCTCCTGCCCCCCCAGCCCGGCCGCAGAGGGGCTGGAAGAGTGGGTGAAGTTGCTCCAACCCCCCCATTCCCTTCCTCCTCCTCCTCTCTCCCAGGAAAGGTAAGAAAAGCAGTGGCTACTCTCCGTTTGCTCCTGCACCTTTTTAGCTCCGCAGGGGTGGGTGTGAGGTGTGTGTGTGTGTCTGTGTGTGTGTGTCACTTCCCAAGGCTGTGCACGATCCCAGCACAAAGCAGCTCACTGAAGAGATCCCTGTCATAATATTTCTGCTGGCACAAGCCCACACTTTGAAAGCTGCTGCTTCCCAGCCTTGCCTTTTCCCAGCTGGATAGTGAGTCCCGGAGCATCCCGTCCCTCCCCAAAATTGTGCAGACATCAGTAGTGACTGTCTCCATCTCCCTGCAGGCAGAGGACAGGGGTGGATGGGAGGTGGGGGGGTGATGCTGTGGGTGACAGGCTCTTGCTGTCCTGGGCAGCCAGGTGGGATATCCTGGCTGTGGACACACTGTTTGGGGAAGTAGGACTGACCTTGGCAGGGTGAGGGGGGCTGATCTCAACAGGAGGGGTCAAAGCAGCAGGACCTGGCTTTGTATCTGCCACGTTGGCTGGGGCATGGCAGGGCAGGGATGGCTGGGGAAGGGCTGTTCTGCTCCTGAGGGCCCTACGTGTCTCCTTGGATCCAGACGCATTCCAATTATGGAGTTTGGCAATTTTAGCCCTGCAGAGGGTTGTCTGGGCTAACAACCCCCCCTCTGGTTCAGCTCAGAGATCTTCCCCCAGCTGCAAGCCTGGCAAGGTGGGGGTTATCTAAACCCTGTGTCAGAAATGAGTGATTGACAGCTCTGAAAAGGGGCTTGGGATGTGAATCCACATCCTTGAGACACAGCTCTGGGGCCAGGCTGGTGGCCCAAGACATCTGCCAGGGGTATGACTGGCAGATCCCAAAATCTGTCCCTGCCAGGGCTGTCAGTCATGTTCCGACCTGGCACTGCATCACCCCAGGAACGAGGACCCAGTCGCTTTCACTGGGTGCTGGCAGGAGCAGCTGCTCCCCAACCTTTCCCCAATCTCCATATCCAAGACCTCGGGGTGCCCTTGGGGACACCCCAAAGGGATGTGTGTCTCTGCCCAGCAACCTTTGTCACCTCTGTGGCAGTGGGGGGCCATGTTGTCACCCTTCCAGGGCCTGCACTGGATGTTTTTCTGCTTTCCCCATCAGGTGTGATACCCCACTTGCAGTTTGAGGTTTGGGGAGACTGGAGGTGGGAGAAAAACTCCTGTAGCTTTTCCTGGGAAGTTCCCACAGGTCTGCCACTGTGGATCCCTAGCTCTTCCAGACAGGAGAGTGCTGTGTATGCTTTGGAAACACCAATTGTCCTGGTGCTTCCTAGAGATGTTCTGGGGGTTGATCCCAATTCCCTGGCCAGGTTTGAGCCTCGTGCTTTGGGGCAAAACAGCTGGAGGGGTCCTGTATATCTTAGTCGTGACCTGCACATGATGTGGGACAGGTAGGTGAAGTCAAGGGTCCCTCAGCAGCATGCCCACATCTTCTCCCTGAGCCCTGCTGTCCTTGAAAACCAGGGAAAATTCCCAAGTGTGACTCTACTTAAAAGCCCTGAAAGTTTGGGAGGTGCAGGGCTTCTCCTGTCTCGGGATTGCAAACGGGGGGGAGTTCGCTTCCCCGTGGGGATTGCCCAGGGATGCTGGTGGAGGGTTGTGGTGCAACAGGCACCTTGTCACCATCCTTGTCCGGATCTGTCCACCTGTAAATCTCCACAGGGCACTCTGGCTGTTGTCATCCTGGCCAGCCACTGGATGTCAGTGTTGCTTGAGACAGAAGAAGAGGAAGGAATATTTCACCCAGCTGGAGGAAACCAGGCACCCGCTGAGCAATGGGGATGTGCCCCAGGTCTGGCTCGGACCTGGAGGTGTGGTCTCCAAGGGAACCCGTTTGGGGCCGGTCAGGGGTTAGGGCAGGGCGGGGCAGCGAGTCAGCAACCCAAAAGTGCATCTGTCGCAACGTGTGGCACCAGGGCTGGGCTTCACATGGCTCTTCATGTCTTGGGGGGCTAAAGCAGCCGGGGCTGGCCTTGGACATCTGCCCTTCAGGCAGCAGGGCTAGGTGGGGCTGTGTTGGCTTTTATTTCAGCTCCTGGTTTGGCTCTCCCTGTCCCGTTGTCAGCTGTAGGTGCCACAGACCCCCTGATGTGACACTGCTGGGCCCCCAACACGTGACTGGGAGTCAGGTCCTGTCCGAGGCCAGGCTGTGTGCTCACAATTTGCTCTGTTTTTCTATTCAATACCTGAAAATACACCTCAGAGGAGCATTATTCTGCCTCTGTCTTTACTCCACGTGCTCAGACAGATTTTTTTGAGGGCACGTCAGTGCTCAGAGACACAGACAGACACCCAGGGTAGCTCTGAGCAGCACTCCAGGCATCGCCCCCCTTTTTCAGGCACATTTGCCAACCCAATCCTTGAAAATTCAGCCCCAGCCTCGCACTGCTGGCACAGGCACCT